AACCTCTCTCTCTCCTCTCTCTTTCTTTCCTTCTGTCTTCAGCTTGCCTTTCCTCTCCTTTCCCACCCCTGAGCTCCTGACTTGTCTGCCCATGGTGAACTGCAGAGATGGAATCCGATGGGGGGACCCTCTCTGCTAACCCAGATGGTTCTTGGAAGTGTGGTGCCATGCAGGGTGTGATTGAAACTGTTTCTCCCCAGTATCATTGCTACCCCCAGCTCATTTGAAATTCAGATTGACAGCTCCATATTGATTCCCTATTTCCAACTGATGTCGCAACTGAAGAATGAGAACCTAAGCATTGATCTGGCCTTTCTTCCAACAAATCCCTGAAAAATGAGTTGGTCCACTGGGGAGAAATCTTGAGACTGGATGGGGGAAAACCAAGACATGAACATGCTCAGATTCCCACAAAGGAGTTCTGACAAATTCAAATCCCAAGACCAGATGTGTAAAAAAGAAAGAATATTGTAAACTAATAAAATGATGCTTTAGGGCCAGTAGGACTCTTAGAGATTATTCTAACCTCCTCATTTTATAGCTTGAGAAACTGAAAGCAAAAGGGGGAGTGACTCACAGGAGGTCACACAGGAGGTCCTCGCTGGGCTGGTGTGGCTCTGGTTGGTTGAGCATCATTCCATGCACCAAAAGGTCACCAGTTCATTTCCAGATCAGAGAACATGCCTAGTTTCAAACTTGATCCCTAGTAGGAGGTGTGAAAGAGGTGGTTGATCCATGTCTGTCTGTCTGTCTGTCTGTCTCTCTCTCTCTCTCTCTCTCTCTCTCTCTCTCACCAATAAAAAACATTTTTTTAAAAATCGGAGGTCCTTTAAGTACCTAAGTCTCCTGGGGTGACAAATCCCCTAACTGAATGGTGATAGTTTACCTCCATCCAGTCAGCCACCATCATAAGCCTTCTCTGCAAGGGGCAGAACACTTGGTCCCAGAAGACCTCACTGTCTTTCTGGAAATTACTATAATCAAAACTGTCTAAACTAAGTCTGATTCACTACATTGCATTGCAGTAATCCCTGAAACAATTTGCATCACTTCCAAATACTTATACAGGGTCAGCAAATCCTAACAATCACATGTTTCATGGCTTGGCTCCATCCCCAGCTTCTCTGTCCAGTAGCTGAGTCTATCAGCAGATGTCTGCATTCAGCACAGGTAGTGGTTCCAACTGTGCAGCAAGGGCCCGTTAATGCCTGTTTACTCTGCACAGGTGCAAAGAGAACAGATTTACTACAGGGGGGCTTGAACTAATTCTGTGCACAGTATCTAAAGATAGACAGAAAGGTACAATGGTTGTCAAGTGGAGGGGTGTGGCTATTTTGACATTAAAATGGAGCCTATGTAATTCACAAAGAATTGGGGAAATTTCGGACAGGGCAGTAAGAGGTAGTCCTGTTGGCAATCAACAGCATTTACATTAAATTTTAAACTTCTGTTCTCCTTTTGTTTTCATTGTATTTACTACCATGGTTATTTCTATTATGGCAAGTAATACTGGTTGTTCATTTGTGAGTGGTGTAATATAAAGTCCCCTTTTTTACAAGGGTAGTTTTAAAGGAAACAAGGCAATTTAGAAACCACTGTTACATGATACATGGGAGGGTATAGACTAGAGAACCCCAAAGTTTCAAAGACTTCCGTTAATCACTTTGCAAAACAGGGGCTCATTTGGTAATTCACAGCAATTCCTCCTCCATTTTTAGATGTGATATATCCAGAATTGTATACATAGGGTTGCTGGAAGTCAGACACATGTTTTGATTTTCTTGGATGTAATAGAATATAACAAGCTTCAAAAACAATTAGAAATAATAGTGGCTACTATGATTTATCCTCTTCACCATTTATAAAAGGCTTTCCCATACATGGTACCATTGGGTGAGTCAACACTTGAAAATTTGTGCTCTAATTCCTTCTCTCATTAAAGTGTTGTGTGACCTGAGGCCAGTTACCTAACCTCTCAGAGTCTCCGTCCCCTCCAGTTCAGCTCACCCCTCCAGTGAGTCTGTACTAGGTGACCAGGCTGCAAGTACCTTGCAGACACTCAAGCTCAGGTAACCAGAGGACTCTTCAGCACTGGGGAGGATTCAGGTATTAAATGGCACATTTTGCTAATAGCAAATGGTGAGGAATAATTTGGGGTGAATTCATTTTCTCACTGGGCCACCTAATAAGATTCAGGCTTATGAAAGAGGCCTAAGGGCCACAAGATCGCCTGTGCTCTAGTAACTGCTGGGAGGGAGTACTATGTTCTCAAATCTTATTATCTGAGAGAGGGGCTGGACAGAGAACAGGAGCTTATGAAAGCTTCATAACTGCCACTCTTGGAGAGGTTCTAGAAGTGAATTATAGCCGCAGAAAAGTCGTAAATCACCAGCTGCCTGCTTGTGGTCCCCTTTGCTCACACCAGAGCTGCAGAGCAGCTGTGAGTCTGGTGCTGAATGGAGAAGAGGCTGGGAATGTGGTACTCACTACCTGTGGGCCATGGAAGGTACCTGGCAGCACTTCCCAGCCACGTGGAGTCCGTGGTGCAGCTGAAAGCAGTGGGACCCAAAGAAGTTCCCAGACTGAACTGCTTCAAACACACACACACACACACACACACACACACACACACACGCATGCACACATGCGCGCGCACACACACACACAATCACACACACAGCAAGTCAAGAGCAAGACAATATACTGAATGTCTGCTCTGTTCCAAGAACTAGGTGTTGTTGTTTTTTACCTGTGCTACCTCAGCTACTCCTTGTGTAAAACTAAAATGACATATGAGGCAACTAAAGTTCAGAGATGTTAAGTAACTTCCCCAAGGTCACACAGCTAGTATGAGACATCATTGATTCCAAAACACCCATTCTTTTCACTCTTTTTTGCACTATCCTATTTTACATCTCAACAATGCATTTGAGAAGCACACACATGCAATGTACATACCACATACATACATACACAAAAGTATCTTATACATTCATACCCTATAATTCATGTGCATATACACACACAAAAATGCCCACACTAAATGTCACACTTAACAGCATACTTAACATGATCCCAGGTATTCACATCACATTTTTGCATATACAAATCTATGTAACAGGACCCACTATCCATCCACAAACACACCCATGAACACTCTAATCCCCACACATCCATCCTCACCCACACAGCTGTACACGTAGCATGTATACACATCACACCTGAAAACTCATCCACTTCACACAAACTCATAAACATCCATAGTCACACACATGAAAACAGTAAAATGCATTTGTCCTGTCAATCAAAACTAGCTCTTCAGTCTATGAATAAGGGACCTCCAGATTATTACACATGAGTGTCTACATCATCCTGGAATGCCTTCTAAATCTTCAAAGGAATCCCAGGAATTGCTTTCAGTAGTTTTTGATTAATGGGTATAATAGTCTGATCATTTTTAAATTGTTGATCCACATATGCATATTTACGAATATACTACTCGACAGGATATTTGATTAAAGTAGCAAATTATTCAGTCACTCATTTACTGTGCAATTACTGAGCACCAATTATGTTTTTGAAACACCATCATGGACACAGTAGGAGATTAAAAGAACAAACAAACAATAAATAAAAGCACCATGACTCCTGGTCTTAAGACACAAACACAAGTAACTATACTGCGAGGTAGCATGGCCAGGACCTGCTGAGTGAGGGGTGTGCAAGGAGAGGGAGTCAAGGAGATAAAATGGCTGGGACGCTTCCAGTCCTAGAGGATGGGGAGATGTTGGGGCATCCGGGGACGCTGCGGTCTGGAGAAGCAAGTTTAGGAAGAAAGCTGTGGCATGCAGGGTGGGAGAGGAACCGGAGGCACAGACAGGACGTCTAGATGGACATGCCCTGCAGATGTCTGCAAATGAGGAAAGGGGCTCCAGCGAGAAGCTGGCATTGAGACCTTGATTTGAGAGTCCTCTGTAAGAGGTGATCACTTTAATAGGACTGATGAGATCAGAAAAGGAGCCAGGGCATGAACAAGAGGGGTGGAAAGCAAATCTTCAGGGAGCCAGTGTCCTAGTTGGCAAACACAGGCGCACATCTCTATACCTGCACTCCTTCTAAGGTACCAGCCCCTCGGCAGACACGACAGGGTGCCTAGCTCAGGGGTCTCCTGGTGGCATTTCAGGACTAGAAAAGCTCATTTGCACAAATGGTTGTCCTCCAACCCTGAGGCTGCCAATTTTGACTCCTCTAGAAATCTGCGCGCTTTTGACTGAGAGCAGCAGGTGGGGGGCCACTGTCCTTAGACCTCAGTAACTCTTGCTATGGTGTGAATAAGAGCCTGAAAGCACTTCGTTGAGTGGGAATGGGGGGCCAGTCCCTCCCACCAGCTGTGCCTCCATTTTCCCAACTGAGGTTTTCTAAAGTGTGTGTTTCATGAGATACTAGTCCCATACGTATAGCATCTAAGCTTGTTAAAGGCTCTGAGAAGACCTCGGGTAAAGATGCCTGTTTAAATTTGTGTTCCTGAATGCACTTGACTTAAGCAACTTTTCTTTTTTTCAACTAGTGACCAATTCTGAAGAGAAACTTTGGGGAAATCTGGGACTACTTGATTTCTAAGATTCTTTCACTGTTCCATGGACCCATGGGGCGGGGCTTAGGCACCCAAAACACAGGGCTGGGCCTAGCGGGAGGTTAGCCCTTCAATCTCCTCTCCCCTCTCCCGGGGAGACCTGCAGCCAAGTGTGATTGCTCTGATCTCCAGGCTGCAGCCTTAGAAAAGGCAGCAGCGTCTCAGCAGCAGTCAGACACTCGGCTGCCTGCCAGGATCTCACGCCGGCTGATATTTGGGCTGGATAAACAATTTAGCCCGGGCCTTCCATCATTAAGGACCTGTATTACCTATTTCTCGGGTCTACGAGGGCTGGGCCAGGCTGGGATCTGACCACGCATGAGAAAGGGCCATCATTAACCCTCTGCTCTCCTCTCTCCTTTCTTAGCCTTGCTGCTTCTAAGGAGGCTGATGCCGCCCGCTCCGCGCCCAAGCCCATGTCTCCCTCGGACTTCCTGGATAAGCTCATGGGGAGAACCTCTGGATATGATGCCAGAATCAGGCCCAACTTTAAAGGTAGAGAAAACTTTCCTTCCAGACCCCCAGGCATCTGTTTTCCTAGATTAAAAGTAAGCAGCATGGGATTGGATGGTACGTACATGTCAGGAGTCCAGGACTCCCCTCTGCCCTAGGCAGATGCTATTAATCCGTTTGGACTGCTCCCCCACCACACCCACCCAAACCACACTCAAACTTAACAGCCCCCTGGCTGCCAGGAATCTGTGTGTGAGTTGAAACCTACTTGCTACCTCTGGTATAACAGACAGATAGATAAACTTGGCATGTGAAGAAATGGGGTCAGGTTTGGTTCAGGCACAAACTCACTCTCTGAACTCTGATAACCCTCTTCCTCTCTCTGGGCCTCAGTTTCCTCATCTCTGCAGTGATGAGGCTGGCTATCTGTGGGAGCTCTGGGGCTCCCACCATGTGCCCCCAAAGGGAGGAGCAGAGAGCATAGTGACCAAGACCACGCTGCTTCTCCCCGAGCGGTCCACTTCTATTTGTTTTAGATAAGAGACATCCAACTGAAATTCACCTCCTGAAAAGGTCCCAGGGATTAACAAATAATTTTTGAAACTTTCTAGTCTAAACCAGAGTCACAATTTCAAATGCCTACAGGACTTAGGTAGGAAACTTCAGTGAGTGAGGGGAGCTAGGAGGAAGGCAATAGGGAGTGGTAGAGACTATGGAGAAATAGAGGTGCAGGCCCTCTAAAGGGGACAGCCTCTTCTTAGCCCCGCCCACAGTTACCCAACTGGAATGTAGGCCCCGTGTTGCCAGGTCACCCAGTATTCCGAGAAGAGCCAGAAATGAAGATTTATGCAAAGTTTCCTGATTCCTAAAATATGTGCATTCAAACAGAACATGTTTGTTGTGAGCCAAATATGCCTTATGGGTAGCCAGTTTACAAACCCTCCCCAAGGTGACCTGAGGGGTTTCTTTTAGCTCTCACAGTCCTGGGAGATCTCAAAAAGAGGGAGTCGGTTCCCGTTGGTGCCTTAGGAGGCTGTCCCCACCTCACACTGCTGAGCAGAACCCCGCAGGTGCAGTCCTAGGACCTCCCAGGAGCCTGTGCTCATGAACCTTCCTCCCAGCACCCCAGCAAAAATCTTATTTCAAGCACCCACTGTCAGCCTCCTCATCAATCTTGATTCCAGATGCCCTTCCTCACTACTCCTTTTAGCTCAAGTCCAAAACCAAACAAGGGAAATGACAGCTGGTACAGCTTCCTAGTATTTGCTCACTTTACCCCCATTCTCAGTGCTCTGCAGGTAGAAAACTGTCTGAGAGACGCACTGAGGTTTGTTGGGGCCCACCTCCACCCTGCTTATCTCGAGGCTCCTTCGCTCCCCCAGCACTTTATTCCCAAGGCCACATCTTCCAGCACTGTTAGCATAACCTTGGTCCCCTCAAGGACAGGTAAGTCAGGACCAAAGCTGCTGTCATACATAGCACTGGGCCCAAGCCCTTCACCAGGGTCTCAATCTCAAACACCCAGAGGAACCAGATAGATATGGCACATGAGTGAGGCAGGAGGAACATGAGAAAAGAAAACTAGAGAACACAGGGCTAGTCTAAGGGCACCTACTTCTCAGCTCTGGCAGTAACTGCCTGGTAGAAACACAGGCCCTGGAATGCTGGCCCTCCAAGACTTGAGTCTGAGGTTTTGTGAAATCTTTGAGGTTGGCAGCTAAGTCACAAATTTTAGAAACGCCGTTGTCTAAATCAAACACATTGGAGAATTGACCATCAGGTTGTGCCCAGTTTTCAGGAATTCCAGTCCACTACGCCCCCTAGTGGACACTCTCAGAACTCCATACTGAGTGCTGTGGACTTGCTCTCCTGAGAAAAGAGGGACTCCTTTGTTGAATGTGTATGCATCCTGGGTTCAGGTGTTAGGTATCCTTTGTGCATACCATTGCACCTGGCACATAAAAGGCCCTCAATTAACCTTTTGTGAATGAATGAATGAATGAATGAATGAATGAATGAATGAATGAGCGAACGAACCAACAAATGTGCTAAGGTTTAGAGCAGTTAAATGACTCCTGAGCCATGCTGTTGAGGCTGTAGGGACTTTAACCCAGCTAGCTACTCTGACTCAGTTTTTTATCTAATGCTGGTCATTTATTCTTTTATTTACTGGCTTACTTACTTAGCAGTGAACATCTTTAAGAAATAAAATTTCACCCAGACTATAAAACCATTGAATCAGGGCCCAGTCTCTCCCCACTCTGAAAGCCTTCCTCTGACACTTGGACCTAAAAATCTACAGATCTAGATCATCTTAGTCTCCTGACCCTGTGTCATCTCTAGCTCCTTCAATCCCCTCCAAGTAGGGCTCTGAGCAAGGTGCAGCTTCCCGGAACCCCGCCTGGAGCTGGAAACAAGGTTTCTCTCTCTCCCTGGTGTTGAGGACTGAAACACTGGCATGAGGAGGGGACCTCCAGCCCCTGATGCCTATGGTCCTTTCACACTTCTACCCAGACACCAATAAGATTCCCCCAAAGCCCCACACAAACTACAGAGCTCCTGAGAAGGCCTCTGCGACCCCAACACAATAGGAAGAGGCCTGCATTGTTCTAGAATGCCCGCTACTTACCTGATGCATGTGACCCAGAGTGAATCACTTACCAGGCCTCTGTTTCCACATCTGCGAAATGATCCAGCAGCCGAGGCCCCTCCGGTTCTGATAGTCTGCATCTCCTCCAAGACTCTGTGTCGGACAATGGTTCCTAGGATCAGGGGCACAGCCTGATGCAAACACGTACACAAAAGCAAAATTAAACTTTAATATTTAATGAAATATATACATTATCCTGCTGCCAAAGGCAGCCAGATTGTAATTTTCTTGAGGATAATTTCATTTTAGATGTATGTCAATGACTCTCACCTCCCCATGGGGTCTTCTGGGCAGGCGCCCTCTCACACACATAAATCAGGACCTACTTTATAGGGGAATCACAGCACCAGACACTGCAGGGGCTGGGTGGGAAGTCTGTGCACGTGATTCAAGGCACAGGCAGTAATTCTTTGGGGCATCTTAATGGTATGAGGCTAAATGAAAGAAAAACCTGGGTCTGAGTCTAAATGAGAAAGAAAAAAAAAAATCTAATGGGCCTTCGTTTAGGTGGAAGTGACAAGGAGGCAGATGTCCACTCAGCATAAGAGACATTTTTTAGCAGACAGAGCTATCACCATGGAACGGACCACTCAAGACAAAATGAGTTCCCACTACTGGGGGTGTTCAAGCACTGAGCTTTGAGAGGGTAGCTGGTATAGCAGGTTCCTACACCTGGCTGTACATGAGAGTTACCCAGGGAGCTCATTACAATATAGATTCTGGGCTAATCTCCAGAGATTTGGCTTCACTGGGTCTGGGGTTGGGCTGAGGAATCTGCAGTTTAACTAGTTCTCCTGGTGATGCTACCTCCAACAGCCCTGCCTGCACATCAGTTTGGATGACCTTTAAGAAACCTCCCAGCCCTGAAGTCTTATAACCTTGTTAGTTGAATGACTAGCTTCCATAAGGGAATTCCAAACCACTGGAGCACAGAGTGACTACCCAGATAAGGGGCTACTCTCCCAGATTGATGGGGAAACTGCAACCCAGAACAAGGAAGGGGCGGGCCTGAGGTGAAACAGCCAATGAGCACTGAGCTGTGTCCAAAACCCAGGGATCCTCACTCCCGTAGAGGGAAAACCTGGATTCTCACCACCAGACTGAGTCCCACCCTCTACACCAAGACTTCTGAAAAGAAGAAAATCTTGGCTGAGCTTGAGTGAAATGCTTGGGCTACTTTTTCAAGGGGGACAGAGAGGACATAGTAACAGGACACTAGGATATCTGCTTCCGTCTTTCCACAATCAGAAAGTTGGGTTCAAGTCTTGGCTCTACCACTTGCTGGCTAACTCAGCCCAAGTGAGTTGCTAAGACTCTCTGTGCTCCACCTGAACAGCAGGGACAGTAAGTTTGTCTTGCCTACCACAGGCCCTCATGGGGATCAACAAGAAAGTGGACCTGAAAATTTCACAAATTGCACATTGCAATCTTTATGTGCAGGATTATGACCTATAATCCAAGTCTTGCCCACCTTCAAGGTCAGTTCAAGGTCATCGCCTTCATGAGTTCCACCCTAATACCTCAGTCTCCAGAACTTCTCTTGTATCCGGGATCCTACTGCTTATGCCACTCTTAGCCACGGTCTCACATTTCTTTCTGGTTATTTAGGCTGGCCCTTTTGTCAGCTCATGTGGATGCCCAGTGCTTAAAACCCTGGATTCTGCCACTATATGACCTTGAGCATGCCACTTCCTTTCTCTCAACCTCATTTTTACAAGTACAGCCTTGAAGATCATTCACTTTGGAATTATACAAATCTGAATTCAAACTCTGACTTGTCCATTTACTAACTGTATGGCTCAGGGCAAACAACCTCTCTGAGCCTCTGTTTCCTCATCTGTAAAATGGAGGTAATAACCACGCCTCCTCATGGAGTCACTGAGAGGATAGAAGGAGATCCATGTTAGTAAAACTCAGCCCAGCAGCAAACCCTGTAATGCTCAATAAATGCTAAGTGCTATAATTAATAGCATAAAATGAAGATATTTAGCTTCAACTGGACAGAAGTCCCTCTAGCAATCTGATTCCAAAGAGCAAATATTCCTCCACTTCTCTCCTATCTTTTGCAGCAGGATTCAAAAACCCTGCCTAGAAAGTATTTAACAAAGACTTATGGACTTCCCTTGAGGTTCCTCTGGATTCCTCAGCTGGTAATTCCCATCAACACCCTTTCAGGCAATCATTCGTGGTTCGTAAGTTCAAGGCAAGGAACTCACTGTTCTTTGCGATTCCCAAGATGGCCTCCAAATGTTGTAGCCGTAAATACATTTCAGCCACAAATTAGAAGGCAGCCGGTGGGGTTTGGGGAAGGGATTTCAACCATATGGCAGGAAGATGAATCATCCTGTGTTAATGAAAGTACATCCCAGCTCAGACACTGGTGCTCTGTACCTGGTGCTCACTCGGGGACCAGGGAATCTGGCAGAGCGGTGTGGCTGGGAGTCCTAGATGCTCGGGGGTGGGGTGGAGAACAAGCAAGGGGCTCCTCACCAAGGGGTGTCCATCCCTGAGGTCAGTGTTTCAGGCACGGGTCCTGTCCTGTGGGTTTCTTCATGGCTATGGAGCTAAAGCAGGTATCTCTTTTGATTGGCAGGTCCCCCGGTGAATGTGAGCTGCAACATTTTCATCAACAGCTTTGGTTCCATTGCTGAGACAACTATGGTGAGTGAATCAAAACACAAGCTGCTATTTCCTGTGGGGCATCTCTCTCTCCCTGAAATAGTTCCCCTCTGCATTGGGCTTCCCAAGGAGGTGGGGGATCTGGTGTGCTTGCAGGTTTCCGGTGGTATAGCAACAGAACATTTTTACTGCCCTATTCCATGTTTTAGGTGAGCACATATATCTGAAAATGGCCAAAGAGCCAGCAGGGCCTGCACATGCCAAACACCCAGGATTACAAAAACAACATCATATCAATGGGCTAAAGTTTTAGATGAAAAGAAAACATAAAGACCTACTTGTAAAGTTCAAGTGCAACTGCGGAATAGCAGAAGACTGGGTACAGAAGCTGAAATGGATATGTTGGGTTGATTCTACTCTACTCTCTACTTTTGTATGTACTTAAAAAGTCCCATAGCCCTAACCAGTTTGGCTCAGTGGATAGAGCTTCGACCTGTGGACTGAAGGGTCCCAGGTTCGATTCCGGTCAAGGGCATGTACCTTGGTTGCAGGCACATCCCCAGTAGGGGGTGTGCAAGAGGCAGCTGATCGATGTTTCTCTCTCATCGATGTTTCTAGCTCTCTATCCCTCTCCCTTCCTCTCTGTAAAAAATCAATAAAATATATATTTTTTAAAAGTCCCATAGTAGAAAGTTTAAAATAAATTAGACCAGAAAAAAAAAGGCTAGAAGGAAAAATACTAAAATGTTAAAAGCAATTATCCCTGTATCATAGACTGATGGATAATTTTATTTTCTTCTTTAAGCATTTCTATATCTTTTAAATTTCTACAAGGAGTAAATATTACATTAGTAATTATAAATAGATACAATGAAACTTTAAATGTTTTTCTCACTCCTTGAAAACAAAAATAATCTATTATGCTTGTTTTGAAGGGAGTGATTTCACTTGTGAGAAAATAACAAAGGCCTGGCTGGTGGCTTAATTGGTTGGAGTGTTGTCTCACACCAATGTTTCTCTCTCTCTCTCTTCCTTCTTCTCTTTCTAAAATCAATAAATAGCCCTAGCCAGTTTGACTCAGTGTATAGAGCATCAGCCCAAGGACAGAAGGGTGTCAGGTTTGATTCTGGTCAAGGGCGTGTACCTGGGTTGCAGGCTCAATCCCAGCCCTGGTCGGGGTGGGTGCAAGAGGCAACCAATTGATGTGTCTCTCTCATGTCACTGTTTCTCTCTCTCTCTGCCTCTCCCCCTCCTTTCCACTCTCTTTAAAAATGAATGGAAAAATAAAATCAATAAACACATCTTCAGGTGAGGATTAAAATAAAGTCATCTCTTTATGAGCAGACTAAGAAAAGCCAGTCACAAAGTACTATAGACGGTACTTCCATAAAGTCCTCTAAAGCACCCATTTCTGGACATCCACCTGTGCCAGGCTAGTTCAGGCTTCCAATGAGTCTTGTTCACATTACTGCAAAGGGTTGCCAACGTTCATAAGGGAGATAACTAGCAAGGCCCCCAGAGAGGAGATCAACGATCTTAGGCAGGAAATGCAGGATTGGGAATGATGTGCTTCCTTGGGAGAGGCAATCCAAAGTAGGAAGGAGTTGCCATTCTCCAGCTTGCACATCCACAGTACTGTGATTTTCTCGCACTCGGTTCTTAATGGCCTGTATGTGTTTAATTCGCTTTGCAGATGATTTACGGGGAGGAAAACAATCTAAAAATCTCAGAACTAGCGAAAAACTTAAGAAACCATCTAGGTCAGTTCTTTGTTTTACAGAAAGGAAATCTGATGACTAGTGGTGACATCACTTGAGCAAGGTCACGAGGTCACAGAGCATGGAATGGGTGCTCTCTGCAGCAGCCAAGGGTGACTCTCCCTTCAGCTCTTTCTCCCTCAGCTCCCACCAACCAAACCATGTGGGCCACTTTCCCATCCGAGCCTCTTTTTTCTTGTCACTCAGAATACAACAGCAACAACCACACATTAAACGCCACTGTGTGCTAGGCAGTATGCGGAGTACTTCTGCATATACCCTCTCCTTTAGACTCACAACAGCCCCCCTGAGGCAGGAAATGTTATTCCCATTTTACAGATAAGGAAACTAAAGATTAGAAAGGTTTGGTCATAGGGACTTAGAGCTGAAAAAACCTTTTTTAAAAAATCCTCACCTGAGGATATTTTTCCATTGATTTTTAAAGAGAGTGAAAGGGAGGAGGAGAGACAGAGAGAAACATCGATGTAAGAGAGACACATCGATTGGTTGCCTCCTTCATGCTCCCCTACCAGGACCAGGGATCAAGCCTGCAACCAAAGTATGGGCCCTTGACCGGTATCTAACCCAGGACCCTTCAGTCCGTGGGCCCAAAGCTCTATCCACTGAGCCAAACAGGCCAAGGCTGAAAGGAAACTTATTGAACAGACATGTTTAGGCCCTAGTTCCAGGCCAGGGTTCTGCCTCTCCAATCACATGAAGAGCAGTGCACACCCAGGGTCCCTGGTAATGTGGACGTATCCTGTGCCAGAAACCCCCCGGGTTGTGTCTGCTCTGCAGGAGCAGCAGGAATGCCAGCAGCTCTATGAGCAGCTGGAGTCCCTGACTGTCTGCTTCCCAGGGCCTGGCCTTATTCACCAGACCTGAGAGCAGAGACAGGCAGCCAGCAAAGCAGCAATGGCCTCGATCCATTCCAGACCAGCGGAGGGCTGAGGCTGCCTGTCCTTCACCTGACCTTTCCAGGGACTCTCTTTAAGTCTGAGCAGCAAGACAAAGGTAGAAGTTGGAACAGAAGTGAATGAGGGAGAGGTGGGAAGGGGCTCCTGATCGAGAGTCTCCCTCCGGCAGTCTCCAAGAGCAAGATCGGGAGCTAGAATCTTCCGGGAACCACCAGCTTGTCTGAACACACGTACTATGAGTGTGCACTACAGCCTCTATGTTTCTGAGTAGCATACATGCACATAAGTGTATTGTGGGGTTGTTTGTACAAATGTGCACATAGGCATGTGCATATGTATATGCTAGTTTGAATGTATTTGCACGTGTAACCTCAAAGGGAAATGTGTATGGCCATGCATAGGAATAAGTATGTGTGTTTCTGGTTATAAATGTACATGTGAATATGTATAAGTATGAATGTGCATGTATATGTGTATGTATATATGTAAAAATATGAGAAAGTATTTAAGAGTGAGTGTACATGAATGGTACTATTTTCATTTATGTAATTGTGTGTAGATATTTGTAAATATATAAGCACATAGTGAAGTATGCATCAGCATGAAGCAGCATATTATATGTGTATCTATGCATGTGCATGTGAATATATGTACAAATACATGTGAATAAGTGAAAGAGAATTTACATGTGAATAGGTATGTGAGTATGAGTCTGTCTATACATGTGCGTAGGTGTGCATGGGAGTGTGCACATATGGGGACACGTATATCGCTCAATTCATGTGGAACTATATGTAAACAAATGAGAGAGCGTGTGTGTGTGTCTGTGTTTGTGTGTGTGTGTGTGTGTGTGTGTGTGTGTGTGTGTGTGTGTATTGGCGTCCTCTGGGCATGAATCCCAGTATTTCCATTATCAGGTCATAAGCTGCAGCCTCTCTTACCAAGGGTCGGACTAGCTTGGCTCAGAGCCAGGCACACTGGCCAGGACCCTGGGGATTAGTGGCCGCCTATCCACAGTATGCTTATGGACAGCAAAACTCTGGCACTTGGTTGTTGTTATTACAACAAACTTTGTAATAAGCCAAAAAAAAGAAAGAGAGAAGTAGGAATGCAGACAAACAATCTAGTGTGCACCCGACTAGGTCGTCTTCTTGGCTGTGCATACATTGTGGAGACACACACATCTCTGTAGAAATAGGATGGTGCAGTACAATTTGTGTTTTTCACTTCCATCATGGCCTGAAATCTGTCCACATACTACATGCCAGTCTACCTCATTCCTAACTTTCCACACACTACCAAATTTGGAAACATAATAGGTAATTACTAGTATTATTATATTCAATATATGAGAAAATGACTTTAATCTATGTTTCCAGACTTTATGGCCTACCTGTAAAATTCCATGGTCTGACATCATTTCATGGTATTTAACCACCCTTCTCCTGTTGGACCTTTAGGCTTATGTAGCTTTTCACTATTACAAATGAATTTTCTTGTGCATAGCTCTTTGCCCATTTCCTTAGGATATATTCCAGAAGTGGAATTACTTTATCAAAAAAGCATGCACTTCGTTTTATTATTTTGACAGATATTATTACCCAACTAACTTCCAAATAAGTTTTAATAATTTACTGTCCTCCCAACAGTGTTCATTTCTCTTCACCCTTGCTAACCCAAGATATTACCATTTATATTTCATTTTACCAGATAAGTTTTTTTTAATGGTACTTCACAGTCATTTTTAATTTTCACTTCAGATTCTTAGTGAATTTGATCATCTTTGCATATGTTTATTGGGCAGTTTGAATAATATCATAGGTTATTTTTTAACATGTATGTCCCTAATCCATTTGGTTTAGTTTAGTTTTCTGTAAAGTATTTGGTGGTGGTTTACTTTTCTCTGATTAGATAGTAATATTTCCAACATCATTCTTAAGTAGCCATTATTCCTCTACTGATTTCAAATGCTATCTTTTTCATAAAGTAAATCCCCATATAAAAAATAAACAAGTAAATAAATCCCCACAGATACCTAGTCTGTTTCTAGTCTCCGTTTATTGCCCCATTGCTCTGTTTGTCTGTTTCTGCACCAATGCCACACGACTTTCATTACTCGGCTTCACATTATATTTCTATGCCTGGTAGAGATAGTCTTCTGTTGTTATTTTTTAAGGTTTTCTTGACTTTTTCAGCTCCTTTTCTTTCCCACATGAACTTTAGAATCAGCCTGTCAAAGCCTATAAAAATTGCCTCCAATTTTTGAGATCAAGTTTATAGATTAATTTGGGAAGAAGTGACTGACATCTTAAGTATATTTTATAAACATGGTGCGTCTCTCCATTTATGTAGGTATTCCCTTATTCTTTTCAGTAAAGCTGAAGAGTTGTTGTTTT